GTAGTAGGTAGAGCCAGCAGGAGGCATGGCGGCCAAGGCACTAGACTCGCACATGGCTGACCACAGTTCAAGTCCTGGACCTGCGGCTTGCTTTCTCACTTTCTTTCTCTCTCTGGTGAGTGCACGTGCCACACAGCAAATTAAAATAATAATAATAGTAGTAAATAAAAATAAATAATTCTCTTTTTTTGGAGAGGGTTTTGCTATAGGGTGCGTGTGCTCGCCAGAAAGACAGAGAGAGGCAGAAAGACAGAAAGCGAGAAATCACTCCCAAGGGGGGTTGGACACACCGCAATCCCTTCTCCTCCATTGTCCTCTCGGGATCTTGGGCACGCACGTATACGTGCCCAGTGTGAGTTTAAACCACTGGGTCCAGGACTTGAACCACAGTCGGCTACATGGGAGATAGCCAGCAATATAGCCATTACGCTAACTGCTGGTCCCAATAAGTAATTCTTTAAAAAAATGAGATAACGGGTGTCAAGAGTCTGGCACAACAATTCCATAAATGGTAACTATCATTATAAAAATAAGACGGCAGTGAGAAACCCTGGGACTGCCTGAGGGTCAGCAGGTTCTACAGAGAGGCGCACTTCCCTGGAGCTCCGAGTTGACAAGAATAACGAGACCCCAGAAACGATGCCCCTCGAGAGAGGACTCAGCTGTGGTACCTCCGGCCGGCAGCAGCCCCTTGGTGGGGGGACAGAGGTCCCAGCCGGTGGGGACAGCGGGGACAGCGGGGACAGCGGGCGAGGGAACCCTATCTACGCATGAGGAACAGCAGTGAGGTGTAGCGTCAGCTGTGCCAGGTGCGGGGAGGGGTCCTGGAGATTAATCGGGTACGTTTCTGTAGGGTTTTTAACCGGCAAAGGACGAGTACTTCCATAAGGAAACACAAGGATACAGTAAGAGAAGAAACAGGGGGACGAGTGCATGCGAAAACCCCAAGCTGCGGGTAGTGGACCAAGCAGCCTGACTTGAAGGAACCATGCGGTTTCCTGGGGGATCGGCACTTTCAGGAACAAACCCCAAAAGTCCCAGGCAATCTGGGACAAGCTAGCCATGCGACTGGTAGGAGACTATGGACTATGGACGACACGGGGGCACGGGGTGGCCCCAGATAGAGCGAGGGCGCAGTGTAGAAAGAGACGCGTCCGGTCCCTAGGGAGGAACAGGGACGCTGGGCGCCGTGCGCTCCGTGCCCTTGGGCTGGAACGGGCAGCCTCGCGGAGGGACGGAGGCCTTCCTTGGCAAACTGCGGGCAGGACCCCGGTCTCCCAGCACCCCCATCGTCAGGGCCGTGCCCACTCTGCCACTGCCTATGTCCTAGCTACTGGGGCGCCCCACCCCACCTTTCAGCTGCCGGGACCCAAGCAGGCTCTGGAGCGGACAAAGGCCTGGGAAGAAGGCCCCTTGGAAGAGAAGCACTGGAGACAGGTGGAGGGAGACGGCACCCAGCCACGCCAGGGTCTCCCGGGGGCGGCTGCAGGCGGAACGCACGGATAAACGGAATGGTGCCATGTAATTAACCCAAAAACTCGGCCAAAGCACCTTCTGCGAGCGGTAAGGGAGGCGGGGCTGGGAGTGTAGGCGGGGCTAGGAGGATGGGCGGGGCCCAGAACAAGACCACCCAGTCAGCTGATCTGGAGCCCTGCGGAGGCCAGGCGGAGGCCAGGCTGCGGTTACCAGCTCAGCTCCGTGGTCAGGCAGCCTGCCCCCGCCTCCTCCCCTCAGGGGCCTTGGGGAGAGTGACACCTGCCTCCTCATCTGTGACCTGCATGAGGGGGTCAAGAGCGAGGGCAAGGAAAGGACTCCGCGGTTCAAGCGTTCAGTCAGTTATGGTGTCGACATCCCATCTCTTGATCTTAATTTCTTTCTTTTTTTAAAAAGAGTTATTTATTTTATATTATATATTATTACTACTTTTAAATTTTCTTTTTTTTTTTTTTTTTGAGAGATTTTCGCATTAGGGTGCGTGCACTTGCTAGAGAGAAACAGAGAGACAGAAAGTGAGAAATCACCCCCGGGGGGGATGGCCACGCTGCAATCTCTTCTCCCCCATTCTCCTCTGGGGATCTTAGGCACGCACGCAAATGCACCCGGCGTGAGTTTTAAGCCACCGGGTCCGGGACACGAAACGCGGTCGACTATGTGGGAGTCCAGTGATATAGCCATTACGCTAACTGCTGGTTCCCTACTTTTAAATTTTCTATAAGGCACACACAGTCACCAGAGAGAAACAGAGAGAGAGAAGGTGAGAAAGCAAGCCACCAGGTCAAGGACTCAAACCAAGTTCAGCCATGTGGGGAGTTCAGTGTCTTAACCACCATGCCACCTGCTGGACCCTAGTAAATATTTTTGATAGAACAAAACAACTCAAGAAGCAGGATGGGGGCAACCACTGGTATGATAGTTAATGTAGCTGGATCCCACATGGTCAGCTGCATGGTTCGAGTCCCAGACCCTTGAAAAATATCCCGGGCATGGGACCAGCAGGTGGCATGGTGGTTAAGACACTGGACACTCCCACAATTTTAAAGTGCCAGGTCCAGGACTCGAACCGTGGCCGACTGTGGGAGTCCAGCAACATAAACATTATGCCATCTGCTGGTCCTTATTATTATTATTATTAAATTTGCTATAGGGCACATACATGAGAGAGAGAGGGAGAAAGCGAGAAAGCAAGCGGCCAGGTCTGGGACTCAAACCACATCGGCGGTGTGGGAGTCCAGCACCTTAAGCCCCACACCACCTGCCGGCCCCTTCTTTTCTGTTTTACGATAGTCTCTGTGTGCATCAGAGACAGAGAGGAGGGCCCTGGACGGGGCCTCGTAATGCCGTGACCCTGTTTCTCCAGCGCCCTAGCTCCCAGCACCCTGGGCGCCCGTGAGCATGACGGGGGTCCCTCATGCTGCCCAGCACTGCGTGCGCTGGCCCACCCCTGCTCCACGGCGGACGGCGGCTCAGAGTGGACCTTCATCTCTCACTGACAGCGAGAGGCGAATATAATACTGTCCTGCCTTCCTCCAGAGGAGCTGAGGGCCAGGCAGCCCGCCTATAGACCAGACTCCTGCAAACTGTGAAGCTGTGCTCGCATGCCACTGTGAGGGTCATTGTTCAATCCTTGGCTCTATACCCAGGTCAGGGTCTTGCTCCTTGTTCCCTGAGAAGCTGAACAGTAAGAGGCTAAAGGCGGGCCTGGGGGCTGCACCACCTGGGCCTGAGTCCTACCTTTAACACCGATTAGCTGTGTGACCCTGCAAGTCACTTAACCTCTCTGCTCTTTGATTTCTCCATCTGTAAAACGGGGATGATGTGACAGTCCCCATTTCCTGGGGCTGGCGTGAGGCTCCCCCAGTGAGGAGGTGTCGTGAGACACTGACTCTGCTGAGTTCGCGGCCATCGCTGCCCCTGCTATGCAGACTCCAGCCTGGTCCCAGGCTCAGAGGACTCATGTTCTGAAACAGACAGGACCACATGACCCTCTGAGGCCTGGCGGCCTTTTCCCATCCAGCTCCAGCCAGCCCTGCAGCTGCCTGGCCCACTCCACTCTTGTCCTCAGGCGAGCGGCCCAGGAGCCCTCGAGACACTGACCCTGGGTCAGACCTGCACTGGCACACTGAGGCACAGCCCCTGCCCAACGCCGGGCGCTCCCATCTGTGAGGGCAGAGGACCAACCTCACGTCCAACAGCACAAAAACCAGAGGAGGCAGCAGGACTGACAGCCACTGCCCGCCCGCCAGACCGTGCCCCGAGCCCCACGCACCGGGGCTTTATGTAAACTTCATGCCCTCCTCTCCACTCCTGAGTCACTCTGCAGACATGGAGACTGAGGCTCAGGGGCGGGGAGTAACAGGCCCACAGCAGGTGGAGCAGTGCAGGCTCCCAGAGAGACCCCGGGCACCAAAGCCCCTGCCACCACCTGCTGCCACCACAGCTTTCCTCGTCAGCTCTTCCAGCCTTCAGGTGGCTGCTGGGGCCAGAAACCCTCCTGCTGGATCTGCTGTGCTACCGAAGGGCTGAGATGAGCCGCGTTCGAGTCCTGGCACCATCATTACTGGTCATGTGACCTCTGCTGGAGGTCCAACCCCATGCCCGGGTCCCTCGTCCCTGAAAGGGGAAGAATGAGACCTGCCGCTGGGCATGGCTGCGACATCAGAGAACGCAGAGCGTGATGCCTGCACAGAAGCAGCGCCGGTAAATGGCACCCCTTCGTCTTCCCCGAGGCCCGTTCGCCCATGGCCCCTCTGCCCCGGCCACACAGCCATGCGGGGCCGCTCCAGCCTGCTTTCCTCTGGAGGCGACTTTCATTGTTGCTGCAGGGCCAGCCTGTGGCGGGATGGCTAAGGAGGCTGGACCCCACATGGCCGGTGGCTTGAGAAACACACGTAGCACATGTGCGTGTGTGCCCAGCACCCCAGCAGGAGGAAGACGAGGAGACGTGATTTCTACATGGCCATGCCCCAGGGTGCTCTCACTCCCTAGCTGCCATGAGTACAACGCCCCCTGGAAAACTGCTTTTTGTTTAATTTTATTTATCATTATTATTATTGTTAATTTTGCTGCAGAGCATGCACAGTCACCAGAGAGAGACAGAACACAAGTCGTCCGGTCTGGGACTCGAACTGCAGCTGGCCACCTGGGAGTCTAGCACCTCAACCACCATGCCACCTGCTGGCTCCTCTGGCAAACGTGTTAAAAAAGACACAACCCAGAGTCCTCCTGCAGCCCTTTCCCTGTTCCCGGAGTAGGCGGCCTCCTGAGTTCGCGGCCATCGCTGCCCCTGCTATGCAGACTCCAGGCCTGGTCCCAGGCTCAGAGGACTCATGTTCTGAAACAGACAGGACCACATGACCCTCTGAGGCCTGGGAAGCACCTGCAGGGTGAAGACCATACGCAACCCCTTCTCCTCCATTGTCCTCTTGGAATTTGGGGTGTCTGTGCCCGCAGGCCTATGTGGGGGCCCCTGGGAGCCTCAGGCGCAGGTGCAGCTCACTCACCGCAGGGCTCCCCGATGAGCTCCCAGTCCTGGGGAAGAGTCCGGATGTTCAGGATGCTGGTGTTCCTGCCCCCACCAGACGGCATGGGTCTACGGCTGTCCAGAGCACTGCTCAAAGTGGCCTCCTCGTGGCATGACCCAGACCCCTCGGAGAGCGTGCTGACAGACGCGTTTCCTGACTGCTCCCGCTCCCTGACCGCTCCCAGACCATGCCCTGGCTGCCTTCACAGACCTGCAGAAAAGGCCTGAATGGCTCGGAGACATGGCATCGCCGTGGGCCATGGCAGCAAGAGCCAAAGAGGGTGCAAAGAGGAGCGCGTGGCACGGCCTGGGTGAGGGGCATCCAAGCTGGCACTCAGGCGGCCCATGCCACTCCGTCTGCCCACCCTCCTGTGTGAGCAGAAGCAGCTGCCCGCCGGCCCATCACAGCGCTCCCCACCAGCCTCTCCGCCATCCTCCCCTGCAACCTGGCGCAAGCTCACTTCACAGCCCTCCTCGCAACCCCGGGTGTTCTGGGCCCCTGACAAGAAGGAGTTGGACCGGCCCTCTCTGCAGCAGCTTGAGGGATGCCTGGCCAGAACCCGCAGTGACTGCTGTGTGGCTGGGGCGACGCTGGACGGAGGATCCGTGCGAGTGGCTCCAGCCCGGGGTGGACCCTGTCTCGCGGGAAGAGCCCTCCGTGGTGTGGGCATGTACTGGCCTGGGGCAGCCCCACTCCCTGTCCCATTCCCGCCGGGCTGTGCGCAAGGGTGTGCAATTTGTACAGTGCCTGTGACACTGGAAACACGACCAGTTCCCTGCACGCTGGACACGGTCCTTCCGCCTGCAGGAGCCGCGACACCGAGATCTCGGGCGGACACCCCGTCACCTTTCAGCCCTCATCTGCGAAGCGGGAAGTGATCCCTACCCGTGCCTTCCATGTGAGGGCTAGGGCCGGTAGGGACCTGCCACCTGGGAGCCGCCGCAGTGGAAGGCCTGTCTCCCTGGGCCAGAGGAGACGCGCGGAGAGCAGCGTGTCCCACCCACGCCCTGACAGCAGGACCCGGCCAGCACCTCCCTGGGTCGGCATTATCTTAAAAGAACACGCACAGCCTTCCTCTCACCGCAGTGCAGGGCAGGGCAGTGCAGGGCAGGTCTCGATCCTGGGGCTGAGCGCAGGACCACAGGCCACTGGGCTGGGCGGCCCGTCTCAGCGGAGCCCTCTCCCTCGTCTGAAGTGAGGCTTGTCTCTAAGGACCCAAGCCTGGGGGTCAGGGCAGGGGAAGGCTGAGAGGAGGAAGGGACCGAGCCCCCAGGCAGGGCCCCGGATGGCTGGAGCCATGGAAGGAAGGGTCTCAGGATAGCCCGCTTGCTCAGTCACGCCGAGTCCTCCTCAGCTCACCTGGTCAGACAGCAAGTGTCAGTCACCGCGAGGGGGGCAGACACACCCCTCGTGACATGCACTCTCGGGCCGATGGGGACAGGAGGGCTCTCTCGGCCGGGTCAGGGGCAGCTGCAAAGGCTCCGGGCTGGCGTCAGCATTCATGGAAAAGACTTGAAGCTTTCCCCCAAGATCAGGGAGACGTGGAGGTGGGCTCTCGCCACTCCCATTTAACACCGCACGGGAGACTCCAGCCGGCACCATTGGGCAAAAAAGCAAGCAGAGGCCTCTAGCCTGGAAAGGAGGAGTACAGGGCCTCTGCGAGTAAACGACACGGTCTCACGCAGAGGAAACCTGCGCACCCACAGGAAACCATCAGCTGTTAAGTTAGGCCGAAAAGGCTGCCGGGCACAACAGCAAGGCACCGGGACGGGCTGAATCTCCAGACACGAGCAGTGAGCAGTCCAGAAATCAAAGTAAGAGAAGTTTCACTTCCAGTCACATCAGGAGAAAACAGGGGGCCACGTGGCGGTGCAGTGGCAACACTGTGAGGTGAGCCACGTGGGCAGGGTCTCGGTTTGTCCTGAGACCGCCCCGAGAGTGGTGGGCACACACCCGCCCGCGACCTGGGCAGAGGCTCTGGGTTGGCAGCAGCAGTCCCAGCTGAGGGTGTGTCTCTGTCTTGCTCTCACATGCAGGAGATGAATAAACTTAAAGATGGGAGACATCTGCAAGTCATCTACGGGTTTAGGATCAAGAACATATTAAAAACTGTTTTAAAAAATGCATATTTTAGTTTTGCTTTCGGGAGTGTGTGCCAGAGAGAGAGATACAGTGAGAAAGCACCCCCGGGGGATGGCTGCCCGAAATCCCCTCTCTATTCTCCTCAGGGTTTGGGGCAGGCACACACTCCTGGCAGGTCCCTGAAGCTGCCAGGTCCGGGACTCAAACTACACAGTCAGCCACGTGGGGTCCAGTTGCCTTAACCTCCGTGTCACCTGCTGGCCCTTATATTAAAAACTCTTACCATTCATCAGTACAAAGCTAAATTGGAGGCTGGACAATGGCACAGCACGGCGACCCACATGGAAAGGTTCTGGGTTCACATCCAGAGACCTCCCTGAACACACGGCCTATGTGCCCACGGCCTGGTCTGGCTGAGACGTAGGTAGACACGGTGTCAAGACCCAGTTGTCTTACCTCTGCCTCTCTCACTCAGGGAAGAAATAAAAATAAATAAATAAAAAGATAAATAACCCAATTAAAAATTGGGCAAAGGATTTGCACAGAAATTTCTCCAAAGAATATACATGACAGGAGTCAGACATGGGGGTCCATGCCTGTAACCCCAGATACATGGGAGGCTGAGGCAGGAGAATCAGGAGTTTGAATGCAGCCTGGGCAACACAGAGAGACCCTGTATCTTTTTTTTTTTTTGGAGAGGTTTTTGCTATAGGGCGCATGTGCTCTCTAGAAAGACAGAGACAGAGTGTGGTTTGAGTGGTAATAGCCATTACACCAACTGCTGGTCCCTCTTTTTTTTTTTAAAAGAGATTTTTGCTATAAGGCACATATGCTCACTGGAGAGATAGAGAGACAGAAAGTGAGAAATCACCCCCTGGGAGGGTGGTCATGCTGCAATCCCTTCTCCTCCATTCTGCTCTTGGGATTTTGGGCATGTGCACACACGCATCTGGTATGAGTTTCAAGTTGCCAGGTCCACGACTTGGACCACAGTCAACTACGTGGGAGTCCAGCAATGTAACCATTACACCATCTGCTGGTTCCAGAGTCCCTGTATCTTTAAAAAAAAAAAAAAAAAAAAAGACATATGATTGGGTAATGAGCACATGCGAATATGCCCCAAATCATCAGTTATTACAGAAGTATAAATCCAAACTAAAGGACAGATAGCAGCAAGTGTTGATGCGGAGGAACCGGAACTCCCAGGCATCACTGGTGGGAATGTGAAACGATGTGCTGCTGTGGAAATGGACTCGTTCCTCAGCTCAATACAGGGTTGGCTCTGTGGTGAGAAACCAGCCCCCACAGGGCGACTGCAGTTCCAGTCAGCCTGGTCAGCCTGAGATCGCGGCACGTGTAAGGGCCCAGATCTGACCGGCTGGAGGACTGGGATCTCGGCCTGGTCAGAGGCCATGGGGGATCGTCATTGTTCTTCCCCTGTCGCTCTCTCATACGTGTGTGTGTGCACACACATACTCGCTAGTATGAACAAAGGACAGAACAGAAAACACCTAGGCTGCAGTGGGTGGGACTGGGTGCTGCTGGTTGATACCGGACAAGGAGGGAGACCAGGGCTGGGTCCTGGCTGGCCCGGAATGTGCGGGCATGCCCACGTGCCTGGGACCCAGTGATTCTACCTGGGGGAGGGCCGCAGGTTGGCAAGGCTCTGTCGAGTGCACGCTTCTGGCTCAATGGAAATAAACTAAAATAGCCTCAGCAGGGTAATCGCAGGCGCCGGCATCCCTGAGAGCGGACGGCGAGGTGCACACAGATCCCGACCTCAGCGCAGCAGTGCTCAGAGCAGCCGGACGTGGAAGCAGCCCCGCCACCCTCTGGCCAGTGGGCCGACAAAGCACAATGTGTCCATGTGCCGAAATGTGATGGGCAGCCCACGACACACACAACACTGGTGGTCCTGGAGAGCATGACGCCAAGTGAAGACCGTCAGTCACGAAGGACCACAGATCGTCTGCGGCCACGCTTCTGAAATGTCCAGGTGGGTGATGCAGGCGCTGGGCTAACACGGTGGTGGGATGGGGAAGAACGGGCAGGGCATCTGCTAGCACGCCAGGGTTTCTTTTTCTTAGTAATTTTCCCCCAGAGGTGCTTGTGCTCATCAGAGACCGAGAGGGAGAGGGATAGGGAGACATGCCCGCCGTGGGGAACGGTCACACTGAAGCCCCTCCCCCTCCTGTCACAATCCTGGGCATGCACACGCACACGCCTGGTGGGCTTTTCAAGCCACCGGGTCCAGGACTCCAGCTGTGTGTGGGGCTGGCTGTACCAATTTGGCCTTAACCACCAGACCATGGTTTCCTTTCAGGGTGATGAAAATATTCAAATGCCCCTTGGGCCAAACATGATCCTGGAGGGAGCAGGCCCTACTGCCCGCCAATATGCAGGAGGGCCCAGGAGCTCACTGTGCTGGCTCAGGCCATTCTGCACGGGCCCTGGGGGAGGAGACGCAAGCCCCTGACTCAGTGGCATCTTCTGCACAGATGCTCAGAGAGGCAGCGCTGAGTACAGCCTCGAAGCTGCGGTGACAGTGCCGGTGACTTCTCCCCAGACTGAAAGCCTTGCCCTCGCTCTCCCACGCCGTGAAGGTCTCCCTGCTGGACAGAGGGTGTGGCACCTCTGCTCTCCCCCACTCCCTTTCCTGGGAATCCATCTGGGTGTGGGTGCTACTGGGTCTGGTCCAAGAGAGGGGTGGGAGGGGTCAGCTGGCTGTGGAAGCGGGACAGTAAGAAGGGGTTGCGGCCAGCAGGTGGCAGAGTGGTTAAGGGGCTGGACTCCCACATGGCTGAGTTTCAGACCTGGCAGCTTGAAACTCATGTCAGACATGTGTGTATGCATGCCCCAAACCCCAGGAGCAGGTGGAGGGACTGCAGCATGGCCATGCCCTGGAGTGATTAGCCTCTGCCCTCTCCAGTGAGCACATGCACCCTGTGGCAAACACCTCAAAATAAAAATGAGGGGCTGTGG